GCATTTATCCAGTAAAGATGAAAATTTCTATGATTATTTTATAGTTACCAAAAAAGCATATTATAAAACTTGTTATCTCTTAATGATTCAAAAATAAAACAGGGGTATCTGGGTGGCTCAGTAAGTTAAGCGTCCGACTTCAGCTCAGGTCATGATCTCATGGTCCGTGGCTTCCAGCTGACAGCTGAGAGCTCAGAGCCTGGAAGCTGCTTTGGATTCTGTGTCTCAAGGGGTGCCTGGGTGGCACAGTTGGTTAAGTTGATTCTGTGTCTCCCTCTCTCTCTCTCCCTACCCCACTTGCTCTGTGTCTCTTTCTCTCAAAAATAAATAAACATTAAAAAAAAAAACAAGGGGCGCCTGGGTGGCGCAGTCGGTTAAGCGTCCGACTTCAGCCAGGTCGCGATCTCGCGGTCCGTGAGTTCGAGCCCCGCGTCGGGCTCTGGGCTGATGGCTCAGAGCCTGGAGCCTGTTTCTGATTCTGTGTCTCCCTCTCTCTGCCCCTCCCCCGTTCATGCTCTGTCTCGCTCTGTCCCAAAAATAAATAAACGTTGAAAAAAAATAAATAAATAAATAAATAAATAAATAAATAAACAAAATTCACAGCCAGCAAGATAAAGAACTTTTCATCCTAACAAGGATATCTTCCTGAGACTTACTGCAAACATTATACTTGATGGGGTTGTATTAGTTTTCTATATCTGCCATAACAAATTACCACAAACTTAGTAGTTTAAAATAACAGTACAAATTTCTCATCTCACAGTTCTGTAGATCAGAAGTCTGGGTGGGCTTGGCTGATTTTACTGCTCAGGCTCTAGCAAGGCCAAAATTCTCTGGAGTAGGACCCACTTCCATGCTCATTCAGATTGTTGTCACAATCTAGTTCCTAATAACTGTAGGACTGAGGTCCCTGCTTCTTTGCTGTCAGTTAGGGGCTACCCTTAGCTCCTAGAGGCTACTCTCTCTGGTCCTTCTACATGGGCTCGTACATCTCAGAGTCAGCAATGATGCATTGAACCCTTCCCATGCTTGGAATCTCCCTGACTTGTTTTTGGCCCCTCTCTTTTCTCATACCAGCTGGAGAAAGTTCTGTGCTTATAAGGTGTCATAATGATTAGATTGAGCCACTTTGATAATCCAGAATAATCTCCCTATCTTAAGGTCTATAACGCTAATATAAGTGTAAATTATATTTTACATATAAACAGTTTCAGGAAATTAGGGTGTAGACATGTTTGGAAGCCATTCTCCCTACTAAAATGGTAAAATAAGAAAACAGTACCCATCATCACCACTAGTTTTTAGTGTCATAAGATTTAGTCAGTACATTAATGAAAGAAAAATAAAGTGTTTAAATATTAGGAAAAGGTACACCTGTCATTATTTATAGATGATGTGATTGTGGGCTCCCCAAAATATGTGACCCAACTGTCAAACAGACGTAATAACAGCTCAATAAGGTGAAGAGATTTAACACTATCACAGAAATCATTAGATTTCTTAGTAACTAGAAATAATAAATTACAAAATGCAATTAGAAAAAAAAAAATTCACCATAGCAGTAAAATGATGAATTAACCAGGGAAATATCATGACCTGTAAGAAGACATTTTTTTTTTAACCAATGAACATAAAAGATGACCTGAGTAATTGTGGAGAGATGCCAAAAAAAAAATGTGGATTTTTGTATTTATTTGTAATTTCAATGCAATCCCAATGAAACCAAAAAGATATTTTTATTTCTTAAAAGATTTTATTTATTGGGGCACCTGGGTGGCTCAGTCGGGTAAGCCTCTGACTTTGGCTCAAGTCATGATCTCACAGTTTGTGAGTTCAAGCCCCGCATCGGCTGCTGTGCTGACAGCTCAGAGTCTGGAGTCTGCTTCAGATTCTGTTTCTCTCTCTCTCTCTCTGCCCCTTCTCCACTAGTGCGCTCTCTCTGTCTCTCTCTCTCTCTCTCTTGCTCACTCACTCTCTCAAAAATAAACACTAAAAAAGATTTTTTTTAAGATTTTATTTTTTTAATTAGTAATTATTTTACATTCTTTTTAAAAAATTTTTTTGTTTTATTTGAGAGAGAGTGAGCACACACAAGTGGGGGAGGGGCAGAGAGAAAGAGAGACAGAATCCCAAGCAGGCTCCAAACCATTAGCACAGAGCCCGATGTGGGGCTCAAACCCATGAACCATGAGATTTTGACCTGAGCCAAGATCAAGACTCACTTAACCAACTGTGCCACCCAGGTGCCCCTAACGATTTTATTTTTAAGTAATCTCTACACCCAACATGAGGCTTGAACTTAACAACCCCAAGATCAAGAGTCACACACTCTACTGACTGAGCCAGCCAGGCACCCCTAAAAAAATATTTTCAAAGGAATTTAAAAATCTGGCTCTAGGGGCACCTGGGTGGCTCAGTCGGTTAAGCGTCCGACTTCAGCTCAGGTCACGATCTCACGGTCCGTGAGTTTGAGCCCCGCGTCAGGCTCTGGGCTGATGGCTCAGAGCCTGGAGCCTGCTTCCGATTCTGTGTCTCCCTCTCTCTCATTCATGCTGTCTCTCTCTGTCCCCAAAATAAATAAACGTTAAAAAATAATTAAAAAAAAAATCTGGCTCTAAAAATGTTTCTGGATTTTTTTTTAATGTGCAGGGATAGCCAAGAACAACAATGAGACTTATGTGCCTTAGCACATACTGAAATACAATAATGACCATAGTAATTAAAACTGGTATTATACAGAAATTAACAAATATATTTTAAAAAATGATCTGTATGCATATGGACCATTAGATACTGATTGAAATCAACCAACCATAAAAAAGTCACTTTGAAAAGCCAAAGAAATTTCATGATGAACAGCATAGTAAGGCTACCAAAGGACTCATTAGTAGGTCTGTTGATGGTATTATAGTTTTATTTTTTCTTAAAGTTCATATTTTCAGAGACTTCTAATAAGGCATGTAGTAGTGAAATGACATGATGTTTGAAATTTGCTTTAAAATAATCTAGCCAAGAAAAAAAAGACTAAGCAATGTAGATGTAGAAAAATCTTGCTGACTGTTGAATCTTGATGATCAGTATATTGGAAGTTCAGCATACTAGGCTTTTTACTTTTGAGTATATTTGAAATTTTTCATAATAAAATTGTTCATGGCATTTCAAATCTTTGGGAGAAGGATTTATTCAGTAAATAGTATTAGAGCAATTGTCTGTGCATCTGGGGAAAAAATATAAAGTTAGATTCCTCCCTTCCACTGTAATACAGAATAAATTTAGAGTAATTAAAGAGACATGTGCTAAACACAAATGATTAAAACCTGGAAAATATAGAAAATTTTTGGTATATTACAAATGACTTTTTTTTAGTGTTTATTTTGTGAGAGAGAACAAATGGGGGAGGAGCAAAGAGAGAAGGAGAGAGAGAATCCCAAAGCAAGCTCCACGCTGCCAGTGTGGAGCCCAATACAAGGGCTTGATCTCACAAATCACAAGATCATGACCTGAGCCAAAATCAAGAGTCAATTACTTAACTGACTGAGCCACCCAGGCGCCCCTACAGATGACTTCTTAAGCAAGACACAAAACCCAGAACCCATAAAGGAAGAAACCAATAAATGTGACCACATAAAAAATAAACATTTCTATAAAACTAAAGAACGTTAAAAAGTTACGAGAAAAGGAATAGAATGAGACATTTGTGTTGTTTTTTAATATTTATTCATTTTGAGAGAGAGAGCTCAAGCAGGAGAGGGGGGCGGTACAGAGAATCTCCGCACTGCAGCATGGAGCCTGATGCAGGACTTGAACCCATGAACCGTGAGATCATGACGTGAATTGAAACCAAGAGTCAGATGCTTAACCAACTGAGCCACCCAGGCACCTCTGACACCTCTGGCACGTCTGACATAACAGATAAAGGACTAATATCTAGAAAGATGTTTAATAAGTAACAAAAAGACAAAAAAAAAAAAAAAAAAAAAAAAAAAAAAAAAAAAAAAAAAAACAAGAATGGATAGAGGCTATGAACTGTCCATTTATAAAAATAGAAATAAATACAGATGACCAACATATGAAATGATGCTGTCTATTAGAGAAATTAAAATTGAAATGAGATGATCTTCGTGTATATAGCATCTTGGCAAAAATTTTAAAGATTGACAGTATTTAATGTTGGTAAGATACAGAAAAATATGCTCTCACACAGTACTAGTAAAAGACGAGATATAATTTTTGGGGGGCAACTCAGCAATGTCTATTTAAATTAAAATACACAGTTTTCACTTCTGTATTTTTATCTTAAATAAATATTCCTGTATGTGTTCAAAGAGTCATTAACAAGGTTGTTTGTACAGTACTATTTATAATATTGGGAAATTCGGAAACTCAAATAGCAGTAGAAAAAGAGTAAATAAAAATGGTACAGCTAAACTGTTGAATCTATGGATTAGAGAATGAAGTCAGTCTATTTGTACAATCATAAACAGTTTGCTTAGACACATTGAAGGGATGATAGATCTCATTTTAGATCTATTTTTCATATCATTTTAAACAAAACTTCAAGTATGTAGAAATACACAAGCAATAGTCTGGAAAAATACATGTAAATTGATGGGATGTGCCATTTTATATTAGTTGTTGTTTTATAACAGTATATTCATGTAATTTTTAAAAATCGAAAGTATGTATATCAAAACATGCAATCCAAATAAGGTTTGTAGCTTGTACCAATGTCAATATCCTGGTTTTTATATTGTAGTATAGTTATATAAGCTGTTGCCATAGGGGAAAGGGACGAAAGGACTTTCTGCTACTTTTGCAATTTTGTAATTATATCAAGGGTTTGTTTTTTTATAATTAACAAATAAGTGAAAAAATTAAAGGTTAAAAAAGGAATCATGGCCACTTGTCACTGAAACCTAGTAAATTACCTAAATACACTAGTCACTTAAGAAAAAATAGAGAAAAAAAAATAGTCATCATTTCCCTATTTTCTTTAATAGGTACTAGATGATCTGGAATGTCATGGAGTTGCAGTATCAGAACAAAGCCGAGCAGAGTTGGAACAGAAAATAGATGAAGCTAGAGAAAATATTCGTAAAGCAGAGGTGAGGTGGCAGCTAACTGTGGCATTTTGCCCAGCTCCAACAACGTCACGACTATGATATATACCTTTAGGATCCAGTTTCTATACACTGATTAATTTGAAGATGATTCAACATCTTTATGTGTGTCCAGAGTATTATTTTTGAGTACCTGCTTCATACAAGGTAATACATGTAACAAAAGGCACTGAACCTATCTGAAGAGTTTGCAATCGTGAAACATTAAATAACAGAAGAATTATATCACAGTGAAGGTACTAATTTTATAGTTTTCACAAGGTACAAAATAAATCAGTCAAATTAATGGCATAGAAATTGATACATATATGTTCAGAGCCTTGAAAAGTCCTGCCCCATATAGAAGGTTCACTGGTCCAGGAGCATAAGCTGATCTTCTAAAAAAGAGACTTGGTTGAGCAGACAAAACAAAAAACATTACAACCGTGGATTTTAATCTTTTGGTAAGGGGTCTTGGGACCCTTTGAGGATTGTATATGAAAGTGTGAAACCCTCTCTCCCACCAAAAAAAAAAAAAAAAAAAATACACATTTTTGTGCACAGTTTCCAGAAGTTCATGTACCCTAGAGTAATATTCTCTGACCTAGAGGCAGAGAGGTTGAGATAGAAAGAAGTTATTTGCAAAGGAGGAAGACCTAGGATATAATTTGGCAGTTGGATTAGATTAGAGTGGAGGTTTTTTTGTGAGGAAATGTGGTAGGAAGAAAGCAAAATAATTGTGGTTAGGACCAGTCCATGGAGGACCTGTGCACACTTGTATATAGTTATCTACCCAATGCAACATGTTGAAGGGATGTAGAAATAGACATTTTAAAAAGACTGAGACTATCCAGGCCTCAAGAATATGTTCTTGTTAGGAAGGCCTCAAGAGAGCCAAAGATAACTAAGGCCTTAAAGCATAAATGCCAAGGAATGATCCACACAAGTATACATAATACTTAAGGAACCCAGAGGACACAGAGACCCCTGGGAGAAGTTGTTAGGGCAGGTAACACAGAAGAGGTAGGATTTGAGATGGGTGTTGACAGATGAATAATATTTAATTCGAGAAAAAGGGATAGATAGCACAAGATTTGTGCTATGCAATGTTAAGAGGCATAACTGGAACCAAAAGAAGAAGGTAGGAAGGAGGCAGATTTGAAGCTGACATTGGGAAATCCTAACAGTCAGATCTGCCCAATGAAAGAATAAATTCCCCTGGGACGAGGTGCAGCACTGCAAGTGCTGTCAGGGACTCTATACAAGGAATTCTTTCATTGGTTGAGGGTTAATCTAAACTAGTGATTTTCACATGTCCCCTCAGGACTCTAGAGGTTTTGAGGAAATGTTTCAGTGGTTGGTTGGAGGGCAGGGGGAGGTGAGGGGAGAGGCAGCTTAGGCAAACATAGGGAGTATGAGCATGTTTTTGGCATAACCCCACAGAAGTGATCTGAACCAGAAAAGCTTGCCATCTGCCTGGTCTAGAAAAGCCCCAGTAAACCTAACTTGCCTTTGTTCCTGGCACATGATCCACAGCCTCCATAGTGAAGAGGGCAGGGTGTACAATAAATAGTCATTTTCTGCTCTGAATTCAGGGTCATGGCTAAACCACTACCCCAGTGTGCTGGCCAACTACTATTGGCAGGCCCTTGCCTAGTCTGAGAAACACTGGCTTGTGTAGAAGAGTTTCTCCTGGTATTTGTTTCTCTATACTCTGAGTGAAGTCAGTTTCAGAGCTTTGGTGGAACGGGACAGGTCTCAGAAGTTTTCCAAAGGGTGTGTTCTCTCTTGTATTTTCCGTTTCCAGACTCCCTCCATAGTGTCACTGTCTGGTACCATCGCTCCACCAAACCCCCCAGTAGTAGCAGTAGTAGGTATCAGTCACACAGTCTGCATTTAGGCTGAATGACCTGTTATTTCCATGAGTGTGCTAAACAGCCCTGCGTTTGTTAGCTCAAAGCTAAAAATATGAAGTGAGATTCCCACAACAGAATGACTCGTTTCTCCTAATACCAGTATTTAAGTCTGCATTCTCAAAGATAATTTTCTTACCAAAAATACAGAATATGTTAAAAACCATGATGCTAGATCCAGTATCTCAGTTTTGAATATCAGTGAAATACGGTTAATCTTACTGCTGTCTTACAATGATCTTCCACTTGATTTTCACCTATCAGATACGAAGAACAGTCCAGCTAAAATTAGATGGCAAATACATGAGTGTATTACTCACTGCAGGGGTAGTACTTACCAGGTTGTCCTAATGACATTTTTGGGTAGATTTGACTACAAGAGCCTTCAGAGGAATTGACAATAGTGGTTTTGTAGATTACCTTTTTCTTTCTTCTGCCTGCATATCATTTGCATTGAATTTTCCATTCAGTAGTTACTTACTTTATTATAAATAATCAAAAGGGACAAAGCTGGTTAAAATTCCATTATATCCTTCATGTTTGATTTTTAACTCCCACCAACGTGTTACCCTCTCTTGTTGGGTAATCTACTTTATCTAGTCATTTCTGTATTATGTTTCCATTCAGTGTTGCTGATTACAATAAAAACATCTGTGGTGCTCAGTAATAGATTAAAGAAGCTTTTTCCAGACATAGAAATTGAAAAATATAAATGGCCTGTGCTTTTCTAAAGAATATAGCAATTACTTAATAATTACTGACTAGTTAATGTGTCACAAATTCACTAAGTTATTAGTGTAACAATTACTTAATAAACATCTGCTGTGCCCCAGGCACTGATGGATATACTAGACATACAATGATGAACACACTGTGTGTACTAGATGTGGTACTGTTGGCAGCCCCTGACAAATCCAGGAGTTGAAACAAAGCAATAGCTGCTCAAATTAAACTTTAATAACAGTCTTCTTAACCTGGTATTTAGGTATTTGAATTTTTTGAAATGCCTTTTGTCACAAAGACACACACATTCTGCATCTGACTTATACCTGTTTTAAAAGGAGCTTGCCAAGAAACTGAGAATTTTAAATACCATCTTTTTGGAAGCTGTACATGATGTATGTTGTTCCAGAGCACAATTACTTTTTGCATGTTTAAATTTTTCCCTTTTTGGGGGGTTGAGGGTAGTTCTCTTTTTTTTTTGACAGTGAAGAGACACACTGAGGAGACACAAATAGGAGAAAGTTAACGTAAGAAGTTAAAGATACTGGAAATTTTTAGCAATTCATGTTTGGTATAAGGTCTGCAAGAAGGAACTATAGACTATATGATTCCTTCTCTAAGATACTAATTACATATTTTTTTATCTGAATGTACACTTGAAAGCCAGAGTACCTGGTATCAAGAATTAACAAAACCAAAAAAATCAATTATTATTTATATAAACACGTTTTCATAGGTACCATTTTCTCTTAAATTGTCATCCTATAAGGTTCTGTTGTACATCAGGAATTCAAGATTATTATGTCATCCTTGTACCTCAGTGACTCAAAAATGGTAATTAATACCCTTGCCAGCATGCTATAGGAGAAGCCCCAAAATTTCAGTTGCATAAAATGTAAAGCCTCCTTGCCACAAGATTAATGAAATGCTAAGGATAAGCCTGCTATAAAAACAGAATTTTCAATCATATTATATCGAAATTTACATTACCTCAGGGCCTGTTATTGTGGGTTTTCACTATACTCTTATAATAGTGTGTCAGCACACCTTTTGACTAATCACTTTCTTTCACTTTATGTGTGAATATGCTCTTTTTTTTTTCCCTTTGTGATTATTTATTTTTGAGAGAGAGGAAGAGAGCGAGGGGGACAGTTTCCAAAGTGGGCTCAGCTGCTGACAGCAGAAAGCCCAGTACAAGGCTCGAACTCATGAACCGTGAGATCATGACCTGCGCCAAGGTCAAGCTCTTACCCAACTGAGTCACCTAGGTGTCCCGTGAATATTTTCAACTGTACAGAAAAGATGAAGAGTAAAGAAATATTTCTCAACATGCTAAATTCAACAGTTAATATTTTGCAATATTGGCCCTATGTGTATATTTCTATTCTGTAAAATAGAGGTTAAATCTCGAGGCCTTATTAGAGTCAGTATTTTAGGCAAAAATACTTGATAGATGATGCTGTTTTTCATCACAGAATGTTTTTATCAAGTTGCCTCTAACTAATGATGCTAACAGTAGTCACTTAATTAGGTGGTGCTCCCAGATCTTTCCACTGTTCAGGTTCCTTTTTTTCTTTTTTTTTTTTTTTTTTGTATTTGCAGCTACCAGGTACTAGTCACCTCCAGTAATGGCAAATACGTATTTTTCTCTCTTTCTTAAGTATCATTTTGATGTCATGGTATTTTAAAAGTCAGCTCTGGGGCACCTGGGTGGCTTAGTCAGTAGGTGTCTGACTTCGGCCCAGGTCATGATCTCACAGCTCTGTGAGTTCAAGCCCCGCATCAGGCTCTGTGCTGATGGCTCGGAGCCTGGAGCCTGCTTCAGATTCTGTGTCTCCCTCTCTCTCTGCTCCTAACCCACTCACATTCTATTTCTGTCTCTCTCAAAAATAAATAAACATTAAAAAAAAATCAGCTCTATCAAGGTATAATATACATACAATAAAATGTAACCATTTCAAGGGAACAGTTTGGTAAGTTTGGACAAATGCATCTCCCTAAATATTCACCACCACAATCTAGATACAAAATATTTCATTCATCCCCCCCCCAAATTCTCTTGTGACCAGACAACAATTGACATGCTTTCTGTCTTAAGTTAGTTCAACTCCGACAATATGAGTATTAGATTACTTGGTATTGCCCTACACATCACATGCAAAGATCACCTTTCATGCTTTTATACAGTCTTTTTTTTTTTTGTCTTAATCTCAGTTTGATGAGCTAGTATGTATTCAAGTTCACTGATTGTTTCTTCTGTGGTACATAATCTACTGTTAAGGCCATCCTGTCAATTTTGATTTCAGGTGTTACAGCTTCAGCTCTAGGAGTTCTGTTTGGTTCTTTATATTTCCAGTTCATGCCTGCTTA